TACAATGTTATTTTCCTGGGAACATCCGTCATGTAAGTTAATACTTTTCAAATCAACAGAACCCAAGCTTGTGCAAATGATTTTATTATACTCAGGTGCGGGTTTATTATTTTTAGGGCCTCATGAAGAACTCATTTGCATCTTCTTGATGTCAAACCGTAAATAATGCAGCGTTCGCCAAATAACTAAAAAAGGAATATAATATGTTGTGTGTATTATGCAGATCGGAAAATGAATTATAAATAATAATAATGAATGAAAAATACTACAAGTGAAAAGTCTACCTAATTTCCTCTGTCCAATACGATAGTAAAACATTGTTCTTAAAAAAAAAGATCCAATGTTATTTATAAAGAGCTAACATATTTAAACAAGTTATGAATTATAAAATTTGAGGCCTATAGATTAACACAAAAATTGGTCGAAAGTTATTTCTACAGGTACTCCCTCGTTCCTGGAGTCAAAGATTCAAACAAATTCACAATTAGTAGAAAAAAAATTGACGAGGATGAGATTAGAACCTACGACAGCAAAGTTCACATTCAACGCTGATGCTTGGAAAAACCACACAGGTTGTTGCCAACGGAAGACAAATATGGGTTACCTGACACTAACAGCAAATACCGCACAAACATTTTTGTAAATGAAATTGTGATAGAAATCAAGACGGATTCAAAAACTCTATGTACAAGAGTATGTAATTTTAAGCAGTTTAAAAAATGAAAGATTCTGAGAGGAAGTCATCAGATTGTTATCGGTCCAGCGATCTCGCCGATTATTATCTATCTAATAAAAATATACACAGACAGACGGAATTGGAGACCTACTTTTTCGTATTCTAGAAGTCATGAAACCTCATGAAAACATGAAAGTTGCTATTATTTTAATGGACCCTATTAAGTTCTATAATTTTGGGAAAACTGGGTGATTTATTTTTGACTTAATATATTACTAAAGCGAAAACAACGTTGCATCTGGAAGGACATCTTTTAACATTCAACAAAAGTTTGATATGAAAAGTCAAATAATTTAAATGAGATTAATACAGAATTATAATCGTTGATTTATAATTCTTAAATTCATATGTGTTTAACACTAAATTAAAAAATTGGTCTAAAGAGTTTCGACAGTACTTCCCTCGCTGTGGGAAACGTGACGACTACATGCCTATTATGTTTTTTTTCACATTACATTTTTGTAGCGGGGCATTTTCAAATAAATTGAATTAATTTTTTCAATTTTGTCATTATTTGGCATTGACATTTTTATAATTTTTTTCTGTGATTGCTATGATTGCGTATTGAAAAAAAATTAAATTGCACGAAGTCGCCTCTGGGGTGTATAATATGTTGCCTACGCAAAAAATGTCAGGTGTGAACAAATAAAGTGAACAGATAAAATGAACACCCTGTATATTACTTGTAATTTAAGACAAATAGCCATAACACTTATCAACCTGTAGACGTGACGGTGAAATACAAACCGGATAGCAATGCGACGGTCCAGACTTTTTTATTGCTCTGACTTCCGTTTATTGAATAAAACACTACATTTTATTTGGTTTTTAGATGCTGTAATTCACATTTGGTTAATTATAACTTGTCTATATATAGGGGAGCATCCCCTAGCCTCCCCTAGCTACGGCATTATGAAATATCGAGAAACGAGTACCAAATTGAGCAATGGACTCCATTACTGTACGTCCTTAGATTATCCTCGATAAGAAAAACAACTTGAAAGTGTTTATGTTTATACATCGGAAGAATGTCACGTAGAAATTAGTTTGATTTGAATAAGTTAGACCCTCAAAACAGAGGAACAAAACAATTAACTAGTAAGTTACAATCGACAAAATGTTCTGAATTTCATTATTATAATTCTTATTAAATAAAGACGTTTGGACTTTCACATTTTCGAGAAAATGGGATGATTCATTCTTAATTTGATCAATAAAAATATGAATGCTATGATCAATCACAAATAAAAATTCATATTTTGCACATTTTGGGTAGAATTTATTCCGCAAAATTTTGAGATAACGTCATCAATTTTTTGGGGGAAACAAACACATTTATTTGGATTAACAGTTTACCACGCTTACAATGACTTTAAAACGTCTGCAAGATTTCAAAGTATTCAGTTTTGCAATTCTTGATTTAATCAATAAAATTAATTGACTCAGTTATTAATTTTTTTCAGACCCCCCGTATAAGCAAATCTAAAAAATATTAATGCAGTGATAAATCACAAGTATAGACTCATCATTCTTTACATATTTAAGATATCATTTTTTCAGCAAAATTTTGGGGCGGCGCGGCATCATCAATTTTTTAGGGGGGATGAGCAAACACATTTTGATGAAAAATTTACCATGCTTATGATAAAGTTAAAACATCTCCAAGATTTCAAATCGTTCGGTGTTGTAGTTTCTGATTAAATCAATAAAATAAATTCACACAATGATTAATATTTTTGAGTCACCCTGTAGTATATGCAAGTCCAAAAAATATGAATGGAATGATAAATCACAACTACAGACTCATCATATTTTGTACATTTTAGATGGGATTTATTAAGCAAAATTTTGGGATGACGTCATCAATTCTTTAGGGGGGATGAGCCAATACATTTTCATCAAAAATTTACCATGCTTACAATAACTTTATAACATCTCCAAGATTTCAAATCATTCGGTTTTGCAGTTCCTGATTAAATCAATAAAATAAATTTACGCATTCATTAATTTTTTTGACTCACCTGTATATGCAAATTCAAAAAATATGAATGGAATGATAAATCACAAGTATAGACTCATTATATTTTGTACATTTTAGATTGGATTTATTCAGCAAAATTTTGAGGTGACGTCTTCAATTTTTTAGGGGGGGATGAGCAAATACATTTTTATTAAAAATTTACCATGCTTACCATAACTGTAAACGACGTTTCGGGTAAAATCTCAATTCGGAGTCATGTGTAAGACTATGTTATTTGATACAATTTAAAACCCAATTACTATGTACAATTTTGAAGTGACGTCATCACATTAGTGATGGGGATAATTAGACAAATTTTGGTTAGCTTTTTACCATCTACATGATATACCTAATATAAATACAAAATGTGACAACAATCGACCCAGTACTTTCGGAGATTATCTGTCTAATAAAAATCCGGGACGGTAGACAGACGGAAACGGGAGACCTATTTCTTCGTCCTCTAGGGGTCATGATAGGTCGAGAAAATGCAAAAGTAGCTCGGGAAACAAAAATTGGTGAAAAGTTATTCCGACAGAACTTCCCTCGCCCTTGAAATACAGTTCAAGGACTCCCGCTTCTTTGAACAATTACAAAATTGTTTTGAGTTTTTTCTCTTCTCACCTATAATCCTATAAAGCAAAAAATTAGTAGTAGTAGTACACAGACAGAATTTCCCTGAAGAAAAGTCGAACAATGTAGCTTCTTCAAAAATTATAAAATTTCATTTTGCGATTTTTTTTATGATAAGCCATGTAAGTTCAAACAAAGTTATGAGTGGAATGTTAAACTACAGGTAAAAAACATGTTCTGCGAAGTTTCAAATGATTTTTCCATAACAAAATTTTGTTTTGATCTCATCAACATTTTAACAAGAACACTTAATCAATTTAAACAGGTGCAATAATAATAACATTGCTGCATTCGCAAATTTTCTGGAAAATAAGTTCAACTCTTCGCTCAGGCTCGGGAAGTAAAAAAATATGATTGCATTGATAAAGCTCAATGCTTTTTTACCCAGACAAATGTTTTCAGGCTTTATTTAATTTCTTTTTCAGTAGAATGAGAAATCAAAACTTTACAAATATTCAGTTCTTTATTAATTTTTAACAAATCTCGCCTTCAAGCCTCACTTTTAAAAACATCATATCACAATTTTGCCGTTTTTGACATTCAAAGGTATTTGGAATCATACGAACTGTTATTTTTAAAATTTTTGTTTTAAATATGGTTTACGTTTAGCGGTTAAGATCAGAAGAATCAAAAATAGTTTTCTGGGAATGTCTATGGTTGACATTTTTTCACAGTGAAAATCCCGACGGTATTTTTTTCACTGTCAGAGCGTAACCTAACGATATAAGTATTTTATTAAAGTCCATTTAGGGAATAGCTAATTTCATGGTGTACCATTACCCTAAGAGTAGAAAAAGTGGACCCCTGTTTCCGTCTCTCCGTCGTCTGTTGGCGATTGTATGATAGAAATTCTCCGAAATTAGTGGTTATTGTTAATTTGTAGGTGTTATTAGTAAAAAATAAAATTGGCAGTATCAATTGTTTTAAAGACTAAAAAGTCAAAAAGTAAAAAAGAATTTAATCAACATTTTTGAGTACAAATTTTCAATAGGAAATTAAACTACGAGATCTAGGTGTGACGTCACACCATATGCAACCGATTCAGGATGTACGACGCAGAAATTGTAGTACCATGGGATGTTCATAAGGAAACTAGTCAATATGTAAAAATGCAAACAAGAATCAGTAATATATCAGCAAACACACAAATTACAAGTCCCAACACTCGTGCACCATTATTAAAGCTACTCTGCAACTTCAACGAACTATGAGCCTTCATACGCTGCTGCATTTACTCTAATTGTAACTTTTATAACTGTTTTTGTTAGAACATTATTCTGTGTACGAAATTAGGGCCCCATTCTCATATACAATCCATTCCAAGCCTCTTCCACGAACGCACAATGAATTACGAGATACCGAAAGCGAGTAACATGCGTGGGTTTAGACTGTCCTTGTCTGTCGGAGCACACCTTATAGGGCATTCCTCATGCACGTTGCCCACCTGTGACTCACCTCTCATCATTTGTAAGCGTCACATTCTATCTCTCTTACAACTTGTAAACAAAGCCGAATAGCGGACGTCGTAAATAAGACAGGTGTAACAAATAAAAACACGTACGTGCACAGTCTTGCTTGAATCTCGATTCGTCATTGATCTGGATAACCTACCTCAAAGACAACACCTCCACACTGGGCATTTTCCGTAACAGGGAAACGTCCACGAGTTCGCTACCCCTGAAAACAAAAAAAAACTTGTTGAAACTGCGATAATCGAGCAAATATAAAGGGGAGAAGTAAACACAGCCAAGGTGAAGTGAAGCTATCAGGTTGTAAATCTTATGCGAATTAGAGAAAATTATGATGCGGTTTTTGTTTTTTTGCACGTACCAGCAATTTAGACGTTTGATTTTTCCCAGGTCTGAGATTTTGGTCCTCGCGATTACCATTTCTTCGGTTAACCTCTTGGCCATTTTGACAATTGAGGGGTTGACACGAATTTTGATACAACACGTACACGGGAATTTTGAAAATGTTTATTTACATCGTTGATATTGCACAAATTAGTGTGGAATTCATTAGCTACAAACCACATCCATCTCGATTCAAGTTTCTCGATGAACTGTCAAATTCGGTGTTCACGTTTGAGTTGTAGGTTGGTGCGCAGATGCAGAGACAGTGTTGCCAATATAATTTCCAGGCAATATTTTTACAGGAAAATCCCATTTTTCTCGAACACGTCTGTTCTTGTGTATTTCTGGATCTATTTAGGTTAAAAAAAGTGATCACTTGTTTAGGGTAAGATCGTTTATTTTATATAGTTTTAATTTATTTAGTGTTCAAGTTCACCCACACTTACTTTTTCATAGGCGTCGACTCCATAGCGGAACGGGGGGCGGCCTCCAAAATTTTTCTGTAATACAAAATACGTACATACAAAAATAGATATGTGTACTTTGGCAATTATTTTTTAAAAGGGGTTATACATTTAGAAATCATCTTTAGCAGCTACGTTTCTACCTTCTTTTATCTAAAAAACCCCTCGAACATGATCATTAATGTTAAATTACATAACATATTATAATGGAATGGAATATGTACTTTGAGATAATGGGAAAAATACATTCGTTACACCATTATTACAAAAAGGTGACAAACATGATGATAAAAAAATTACAGGCCTATATCGACTTGGTTTTGTTTGTTCGAGATTCACAGTAACTAATATATTTTATTTTCAAACGTCATATAACTGACACTTATATGACGGTCTTACCGGGGTTTAAGTGTCATTTCTATGACACCGTGTTTGAGCGGCGCATAAGTACAACTTATACTCCGCCGGAGTATAAATATGTGAAAATCATAGTGGTTGTCAACCATAGTAACCATGGTAAGTGAAATCAAGGCAATTCCTTAATGAAGCACGAAGATAGGAAATAATCATTTCAAAAGAAGATTAATCGTTTGAAAATAAAATATTGTATTTCATTCGGAGTTTAAGTGACTTTATGTGACTCGTATGGACTTAATTCGCCTCGCTATCGCTCGGCGTTTAATCGTCCCTACTCCGTCACATAGAGTATCAGTTAAACTCCTAATAAAATAAATATCTGTTTTCTTCCTTTTTAGTCGATGCTATTTGAAGAGATATTAAAGTTTCTGTCTCTGTCATAAATAGATAAATTAATTCATAGAATAATCAGATGCCCACATTATTATATAAAATTTATTTTCATCTCCCGCCTCCAAATTCAAGAAATTCAAATACGTTTTACAGTGTGTTTGCTAGAACTAACATATGTAATAATTGTGTACCTATATGTATTATCGTATAAATTTTATGTGAGAATTGTACGATGAAATTTGAAGCAAAGTAGATATTTTTGATATGAATATGGTTCAGTTTACTGAAAATTGTTAAACATGTTTGTTTGAATCCTACTATGTACAACTTGTTCGTTATATAAATATACATTACTATTATGATTATTATTATTTTCGCCTTATTTTGGTACAAAAATTTCATTTGATTCCACACCGCAACTTAATGGATGTCTCAGAGGAGGAAGTAATACACTTTTCTGTGAGGTATATAAATTAGACGGTCTTGAAAATGACTGTTTTCTGTCAAGTCTCGTTCATTAGTATTACCGACGTTAACCTGAACCTGTTGTATTTGATCTGTTTTTAGTCATTAGGCTTGTTTCTTGTTTTATAAACTTTCATTGACTCTCCGACAAAATGTAGAAGTGGACGCCTATGTACTGATAAGTCATTGCAATAATGATTATTGTTTGTTTTATAGTATCTCTACTTAATAAAATCATTGTTTGAAAATATATTCTGGCGTTGAACATTGTTATTGGGGTAAGTTTATTTGCAATATGTAATTTTGCTGCACATCTGTAGATATAGTGAAGACGTAGTGGAAGGTGCGAATACGATAAAGCAAGCGCGTCGAGGTGCATATACCTTTTTAAAATTTGTAATTACACATCACGACTAAACATTGTAATGGATGAGTTGCTTTGCATTTTTAGGTTAAGTCTTACGATTCCGGGAACCCCCTAGTGCGCTGCATTCTATAAAATATGTTAAAAATGGATGAAAAGGTTGAAACTACTTTATCTACATAGTAACACATTTTTAATATTAAAAAATATTTTTTCAGGAATATAACCAGTGTCTTAAAACCCATGGATACATGTTAAGTGAAGAAGAAAGTGACAATGAATGTAAATCCCAGTTAGATGCAATTTACGAACGGTATAAACCTCCACCTATTGAAATTGATGCTAAGAAACATCATATTATTGAAATTGGGTACAGCAAAAAAGATAATAACAACGAAAAATTAACAAAAAGCCAGAAAAAAAGAAAAAGGAGAAAGAAAAGTGGAAATGGGGAAATTACAAAAAGTGCATCAGGTGATAAAACTAACAATAGTATTGCAACTGATAACACAATCGGTGATAATTTTATTCATGGGGCGACCACCAATAATCCCGCTACAAATAAATTAAAAGTGAAACAGCAGAAAACAGCAAAAAGTAATTTGGTCATAGTTGAACAACAAGATATTGAAATATCCGTTCCAACTAATGCAGAATTGATTGAAATTAATAATGAACTACATTCAAAAGATAAAAATACAAAAGGAAAAGCAATTAGAAGTACTCAAAGTGTTTCAGCATTATTCTATGATGCAACTGATTTTTTGTGTCGGGTTGAACAGACATATGCAGACGCCTTAAAAAGCCCCAAAGTAGAGAAAATTGAAGCCCCTGCTTTACAAGTAATAAATCATGCAGGACATCTATACAGCACTGAAGGTTTAACGAAAAAAGAAAAACAATACTTGAGAAAATCATTATGGAAGATTTGCCGAAAAAGCGTAGTTTTTGATGGTACAAGTGAAGATTTTTGGGATCAGGATAATCAAAAGCCTCGGACATTTGGTGATTTTATTAATTTTAAGTTTTAGTAATTTTAACTAAGTAAATGTCATCAGTTTTTTCACTTCAATAACAGGATTCATAAGATAAGATAAACGTTTGCTTTTTTTTGTTAAGTATGGGTAACATACATAGAAATAATGTGGCAAAACCAAAAAGATTTGATATAAAGATAATGTTAAATGGGATGTGTTTAAATGAGTGCCTTAAAATGTATTAGTATAATTTTAAATAATTTGTAGTATGTAGGGATAATGTACAGAATTAACTTTTTTGTTGTTGTATGCAGAATCACTTTTCTTTATGTTTTTTTACTTTACTTGATCTGTAAGGTAATAAATACATATTAGTTAATATATTAAGTATAATAAAAGTATTCTTTTATTTATTGTCTACTTTAACTGGATGTAAATATTAAGACATATTTGAAAGTTTTGGAAATGCATGTATGAAAAACTGATCCAAATTTTATTTGTTTTCGAAAAGCCTAGTGTCGAAGGGAAAAAATAAGGACGGCTCAGTAAACTGCAAATGCAGAAAAAAATAAAAAATACATTTTGGTTAGTGTTTAACTACATACACAATGATCTTAAAATATTTAGCTAGTGTTGGAGATCATAACGAATCGGTAACGTAATATAGAGCGCTTATTTTCTAAAAATTATATATTTAAAAAAAAAAGTATATTTCAGTACGTATTGACTTGATTTCTTTTTTACACTTTAAAACTATCTGTCATGTTAACAATGTTACAGTATTTTGAGATGACGTCACGAATTTTTTACAGAGGATGAACCTTAAAGTAGGTATACTTCGAATGTTATGTGTCTAATAAAGTCGTCAACGACAGACGAAAGTGGAAACTTGGCTGCCTAAAAGACATTTTAAAAACGACAATAAAAATAAATATATGTATCAGAAGTAATACTAGAGATTCGAATCTTCTAGAAAGAACAAAATTAAAAACATTCAGCATTAAATTAATTTTCTATAAAATTTAGTTCTATCAGCGCCGCTGCACATATGTACACCACATTGTTTAGAATTTTGTAATATGCTTACTTTATTGCTCTGTACTCATTATTATTTATAGAAATTTAATTAAAGATATACTGCTACTTCTATCTTTGTGTAGCAGCCTGCAACCTTTTTCATGACGAACCGTGAAAAATTCCATTTTAAGATCCCTATTATCATATTTGAAACTTATCGAAGACGAATACTTAAAAAACCGCTACAAGTTAAACTTAAGCGAAGTTAAACTTAGGGCTAATGAAGTTCAGTGCTGCCAATATTACGTAATGATCACAATTATATTTAGCAAAGATTTAGAAAGATGAAATTCAAAATTTTGTGTAACTATTGAATGAATTTATTTTATTCGTAAACACAAATGTACGCTTGTTTCCCACAGACATAAAACACATGAGAAAAAACTGCAAGGTCGTTGTCGTGCAAACGAATTACCCATTCGTATCGCGTCGTACTGTGTGCATTGTACATTCAACTCATACTTATTTTGTGATTAAGTTATTGATTTGTAATTGTACAAATTGTGATTGTTTTTACAAGTTTTGTAGCCCAGTTGGTAAGAATTTTTTATCTGAAGAACGAAAGGTAATTTTTGTTGTTGTTAGGTTACGTTAAATTGGGGAATCCCATGTACCGCCAAGTAAAACAAAATGGACGAGAAGGTACCAACCTTTTTGCAGCGCATTGATTCAGTGCCAACTTTTCTTTTGCAGGAATTCAAAGAGTGTTTAAAAATTCACGGATGTGAGTCTAGTGAAGAAGGCAGCGAGAGCGATTCAAAAGTAAATTTAGACGATGTGTACGAGGCGTTTAAACCTTCTCCTACTTTAATTGATCCAAAAAGACACACAATAATCGAAGTTGGTGCCAATGAAAATAGCGAAAAATTATCAAAGAGCCAGAAAAAGAGACGGAGGAAAAAGTTGTTTGAAGAACGTCACAAAAAAGCTAAATTAAACGATGGAGTAAACGATGATGAGATTTGTACTAGTGAAGACTATTGTGAGGAACCAAGCAGCTGTGACATTCCCACTGTTCCTGAAAACGTTGAAGATTTTAAACCAGAATCGATAACCTATGTGGAAGAATATAGTTTGGACGATGAGGAAGGAGTTAATATTGGGCAAGGACGTAACAACAGTACTAAAACCAACGAATATAATACCAGTGTTGTTGAAAATGGAACACCGACACATTATGTCGGTCAAGGTGCCAAGAAAAAAAGAACAAGACGAAAGAAAAGTAAAACGTCATTATGTAGCGACACTACGCAAGAACAAAATTCCCCATCATCAGGACCAAACGTCCAAGACAACCAAATTGGGAATTACAGCTTGGCAACCATCGGGGTTTGTAAAGATCTGTTTAATTGTGTACTCATCTTCATTGAACGTAATCCGGAAAACCCCCTCGGTATATTGCTAACCTTTGAAACTTATTTAAAAGAGGTTAACAACACTATCGGCATCTACTTGACACCTGGCTCCAGCTGCATTGTCCATCTTATTAAAGTTATTGCGTTGAGGTATGAAGAATTTTTAAACGAGTTAAAAGGTAAAGACGCCGAGTTCATCGTGAATCAATTCCTTTGGGATTTAGCCAAGATTATCGTGTGCATTGTTCTAGGGGAATCAGAGACGGATTTATTGAGACCTATTATGAACATATATGAGGGTTTTATTTTTTATTGTTTGGGTTTTATTTTGATTCAGTTTTGCGAAATGATAAGGCTTATGATTTATGATAAAACCGAAATTCCGTGTCAGAACCCGTTTGAGGTGGTGAAATCCGAACTAGATGAACGTTGTTGCAACATGTTGCCTTTTATAAATCTAGCAAAATGTTTTGAGAAAAAATTCTTCCAGAACGCAGCAACAAATCATTTAGTAGAAAAAACAGAAATCTCCACAAAATTATCATTTTCCATAAGTCCTATATTACAATTAGGCGCAAACCAGCCCCTGTCACGCCCAATTCTAATTAAGTATTTGCGCGTTCAAAATGTCTACTTCAATGAAGAATTTGTGACAACTGAAAACAGATCGCAAAAATTGAGACAAGCTTTTCTGGACGTTGGCGATTTGCCTCAAATTTATGACAGAGATACCAAGAGTATTGATTTTAATAGTGAAAAATTACAGGATTGTGTTGGGTCATTTTGTGTTCCAGCTAGAAATGTGACCCTTATCGATTATCCTATAATGTTGGCTATGCAATTCTGTGATATCAACCAGCTGGTGGGGGCGGTTATTTTTTCACTCCTTTTTAAGATCATGTGGTGGCTCGAAACAGTTGTTGTTTACATAGACGTAATTTGTTTAATATTTTTTCTTTTATATTTTTGTACCTATTTTGTCATTAAATTTTGATGAGAAAATATATTTTTTCGAATTTTTATGTGTCTTTTATTACTCGTAGGACAAGTCCATCAATGATTTAAATGCACACGTCATGTAATATGAGACATTCTCTATTGTAATACATAGCAGTATTGCTGGCTGCCTATAACCAAAACTAAAACAGTTTAGACCACAGCATAGATAACAATCAGTAGGGACGGCTCGCCGTTTTTCGTGACCCGTTTTCGTGGGTGGTCGTTCGCTTTATGACCGAATGAGGGCGCCCAACTGACGTCTAAAATATTTGAAATTTGGCAGTTTTGTTACAATATTTTTGCCGGTTTTGCTTGTTTAAGACTGCTTTTCCAGTAGAATTGTACAAATAGTATAAAAATGTAATTTTCACAATAAAAGGTAAAATCTTCGTCCGATGAATTTTAATACAGGATCCCTGTTGTGCGCCTGCCTTATTCTCTCCCTCGTGTTTGGAATTCTTGGAAAAGATAGTAAACATAACACACTTTTTGTTTAAAAAGTCGTCGCAAACGAACAACAACGGTGGTTATGAAATAAATATAAAAAATTTATTATATATGATTCCGTTGTTGTGGTAAAATTTAATATAAAAATAATAAGAAACAAACTACACGTAACAAAAAATTATAATATAACGATAATTTCTTTTTTTACATTTGTGAATTAGAGCAAATTTTTAGTGAAAATTTTGAAAATATAATTTTACAAACAACTACTATGTTGAAATTTTTAAATTTATATAAGCAAGCTACATTTGTTCATCCATGCCAAAACTTTCCATACGATTATTTGCTTGCTTTGTATGCTAGGATGAGATTATTTTATGCACTAAAATTTGTAAATGCTAGCTTTAAATTTACAAATGCCAAAGGTGAAAAAATTAATAGAAAAAAAATAATTTGGCAGCATTAACTTTTTTCCTTTTTGTAATTTAATTTTTATTTTATTTATTTATTTTTTCTTAAATAAACCTCTTTCTTTTTAGATGTATTTATTGCATTATTTTTACAATGATAATTAAACCTCAAGTATTCAGGGAAAGAATGTGCGAATTGTCAAATTGTATAAGTAATAAAATAAAAACTGTAACAAATCATCGTGTTTATAATTTAAATATCGACTTTTTTTTTCTTATTGCGATTCATGATTATACGATTTGAGCAAACTACACAGTTTGCAATATTGCGTACACGAATCAATTTTTGAAATTTTAAATGAAGTGATACTTTTTAAATTGGGTGGCGACATCTAGGAATAGTTTAGGCAACGACCATCCATGACGGCTTAAAATTCGGGTCAGAAAGAACAAAGGCGCCGACACGAGCTGTCCCTACTGATTGTTATCTATGCTGTGGTTTAGACACAGATTACGGATACCAGATGGTTCACTTGTGGGCGTAACTGTCCGCAAATTTTCCGTACGCATGACACTAAAATTGGTTCAGCACTTTTAAATCTCTTTGAAACTGGTTCGACAGATTAACACGCAAAATAATATTTACAATGAAGCAGATATAAGATAAGGGAATAAATAACATTACAAGGATTAATTTCTACGTTTTTTGGTTACGAAGGGATTTTTTAAAAGTTTTAAAATAATCAGAAAATTAGTTAAATAAATACCTACCTGCATTAAACTCTATTATAATATCGTTTAGTAAATATATCTTGTCTATAATGCCTGATTTTGTAAATGAATAAGAGAATAAAACATTTTCCCTTCTTTTCCTTTAAACTCGTTTCAGTCTTAAATAACCACCAAAAATCGAAGATCACTATAAAGACGAGTAGATTAGAAAACTGTAACAACAAAGTTCAGAAAGGCAAGCGTAGCAAATTTCATTAACTATTCCCTCCAATTCTTCTAACTTTCGGTAACCCTTTAAGCCGTATAGTTAAAGAAGTTACGTTTATTCACCATGCAAAAATTTTAACACCACTTTCTTGTTAGCACTATATTCGAGAATACGTGTTTTTTACGCTCTAAAATTTTTTAATGCCGATGCATGTGTCCGCAATTCTTTTCAGAGGAAATTGTGAAATGTTAAGCATTTGTAATAATCATAAATCATTTTGTGTGAGGCAAATAAGTATTTTGTTCGTTTTTTCTTCACTTAGAACCTCATCCCTTGCATCATCGCTGTAGTTTTTCTCTGACCGCCGCACTTTTAAATTCAAAGCTTGCGAACCAATTTTGGTAGAGCGTGCGTAGTAGCGTGAATACCGCTTGAAATCTCGGGCAGGGCTATGAAAGTCTCAGCTGATTCCATAAGAAATACATGGGGAGCTTACGGAACGACATAAAGAGGTCACTAGCGTCACTAAAGGTGCTCCAACCTTGAAGAACATAGTTTCTTTTTCATTTTCAGGTTTTCGGTGAACGCTTTGTCTGGTTTTGTCAACAAGAAATGTCATATTAATTACGGGATCATACGGGATGTTGGGTTATGAGGTTAAAAACAAACGTAAAATTTATTTTAACAAAGTAATGGATACTTACGATACATGTAAAAAATACTAGAAAATTCCAGGCTAAAGAGGTCAACAAACTGCAGGTTAAACGAATTAGTTTAAATTTCGATGTGTGCGTGTTTGAGCGGTCCAAGATTTATTTTTAAATTTTAGTGTGTAAAAAATTCTAACTAATAAAAACTGAAACGAGGTAATCAAGAGAAAAGTCTTTGCAGAGGTGGTGGAATGGTATTTTTGTATGCTTCGTTTTTTAGCCGCAAACCAGTTAACGACTACGGTGCATAAATTGGGAAAAACTCATAAAATGTACATATTACCCATCGGAGTATAAACTGCAAAATGTTTAGGTGGTATCATTAAATCGCCAAAAATCACATCTTCATTGAAGACTTTAAAATGTCACACAATTAAAACAGGATGTACAACTTCGTAAGAATGTGCAAAGTTCACAACAAACTTCGTAGAAGTGGTGGTGTAAGAATTTTCGTATTAATGAGTATCCACAAACATACCATAAACAGTTGTGTTCTTTCAAGGTGAGTTTCCGGTAACTCACATCACTTAATGATTGTTGAAGAGGCTGGAATACAGAGGAGATGTGTTGTGGAAGTTTGTTTAAAAGAATACCTTAGCAAATTTTTCATTTCAAATAAAATAGTGTTTCACAGTTGGTTCTTGCACTCGTATCGAAATAATCTGTAGTAAATAGTTTCCGAAACACACTTTGGAATTGTATTGGTGTGGGATTTATACAATTCCCAAATTGACGTCTCACAGAGCCAAACAAATATGTCAAACAATACTGATTTAGTTGCACCAACCTTTTAGTGAACATTGTAAACAAATTGTATTCTGTGAAAACTATTAAAAATAATAAGCAAAATGTTTATGTTCCTGAGGTTGTTTTTTATTTTTTTGTGGGTGATTTATAAATATTAAGAGTGAAATAAAAATTTTGCAATTCACTTGTGGATAACAACTTATTTGTCAGACTTGTTAAGGATTTAATAAACGCAGTTTAAAACGTCAAAATTGAATAAAAATGTTTTGCTTGAATATATTAATAATAATTTATAAGAAAGAAAATAATGGCCAATTGGCCAATGTCACTAGTACATGCCACCCATTTTTATTTTTGTGTACAATTATTATTAGTATTATATGAATCACATACGAATGCTACGAAATATTTGAATCTTCGTGTTTCCCGGGAACGGGCTCCCAAGGTCACACCCGTTCCGCAAATATTGCTGAAGTTTCGTTACCACTGGGCGGAAAAATATCTTACGGATGCAATTCCCCAGTTGAAGCAAGGTGTGTTTTACGGCGAGTAGCGGGGACGCTTTGATCTGGTCCACAAGGTCGTAGCCAGTGCGTCGCTTGGAGTGTTTACAGCTTGTTAAAAAAGTACTTCTATATTACTATATTACTTCAAATAAAAATACTCGATGCCCTTTTTAATTTTTCAAACACATGACCACAGATTTGTGATCTTGAAATGTTATATTATGTTGATATAGTCCAAAAGAAAAATATATTTGTAATCAAACTATCGCCGCGACAGCACTGGATCGAGCGTATGAAACACAATTCCGCGCGTTGTTCGTTACTGATCCAGTGATGGTATACCTAGGGAAATTTCCCTAAATCTAGGGAATTTCATGCTTGTTCAAGGAAAAAGGGATTTTTTATTAAAAACCAGAGTAATCTAGGGAACTTCAAAAGGTTAATGATATTTGTTCAAATGTTAAGTCAATAGTTTCGTTATAAGTGCAACTTTGGATAAATATTTAAGTTTATAGATCTATGATTGTTTCAATTGTGTCGCCCTCTGGGAGCGTTTAAATTTGAATTAAACAAATTGGTACGTCAATTGGCGGTACCGTTTCTATCGACGCAAATTATTTTAAAATTACTTAATTAAAAATGGGTCTTTTCTCCAATTAAACGCGTCAACTCGAGATTATAAATAGAGCCCGAGGCAACTTTTGCGTCATTCTGAATAATAATTTTATTATCACTGCTATTGTTATTGTTATCTGCAGTTAACCTTTTTTTCTTTTGTTATATGTAGTACTACTTATTTGTATTCATTTTTAATTTTTTATGTTTTTTTGTATTAAATATACATAAACTAGTATGTTCTTTTTTTACTAAACTGAACTCAGACAACACACCATATATTTGATATAAATGTTTTGTGCTAACTGCTCTAAATACAGAGTCATCAAAATTGATTGAGAGAGTTGGTAAACCTGAACTTGAATAATTTGGTTTATTAAGTTGTATAAAAATATTAGCTGTCAGATTTGAAGTTTCAAGTTTCAAATTTCAAAACTCAGTGGCGTCTTTTTTCGATTTTTTTTTTTGGTAAAAATATTAGTTGTCAGATTTGAAGTTTCGAATTTTTGTCACGCCACTGAATTCATTGCCATATAACCTTAAACAAATCTGTCATAAGGTTGACAAACTTCACGACAAAAACAGGGGGTACCAACTCTCTCAATCAATTTTGATGACCCTGTATTTAAATACAGCGCCATCTGCCAAATATGACACCATTTAGGGAAATCTAGGGAAATTTTGACTCAGAATCTAGGGAAATATATTTTTTTTATATACCATCACTGTACTGATCTACTGTGTCTCGGGACACCGACTTCAAAGTGCCGACAGCTGAGTGAACTATCTGGTATCCGTAATCTGTGGTTTAGATGTGATCTCTATTAAATTAAACATAGGTAATTAATGATAATATGAATTAAAGACTTAGGGGGAGATTCTGGAAAGTCCGATAATTTGCAAATCCCTATCGAAACTGCAAATACAATGCAACAACAATACATGTTGCTATGGTTTTGAATTTGCAGATCCTTGCAAGGCCCATGATACAAGTAAATATGGTATGGACATCCCATGAACCAAAACTCGTCTTCTTCTGCGCAACGTTATCTGACGTCATGTGGAATGAATGACCTTTCACTTCTGATGTCAAATATCAATTTTAAGGGTTATGAGGCAGTTATGAGTTTTTGTGGTTATGAGGGTTATTGTTTATTGTTACCAAACTGATGCGTAAAAACAAATTGGTGGTTTGCTAGCGACCTAGCGTTGTTAAAAAAATAGCGGGGATGATAGCAAATAAGAAAATATGTATATTTCAGCCGAAGATACTCTGCAGAATAAAAATTGTGAAACATTGCAAATTGTTTTTACACTGATTGTGAATAGTAATAATAATTGTACAAAGAATCTCGTACATTTGGTAAGTACAAACCAATAATTTAATACACAACTATTAACCAGTATGGCGATCCTGTTACTGTCATTTGGCCGTCAATTGCCTTGGTGGTAACACGTCTTCCACGACTGTTTGCTGGTTACCGGTGACACTTTCTCGTTGAATAGGGCTGGAGTTACTTTGGGACTGGAATAGTGTTCTTTCCGGTCCGTTAACTCAATAATTCTAGTACAGTCTGTCGTAACCTCAAATCGTAAACACATCAACCTTTCGTTGACAGATAGCGAAAATTACTAGCCTCGCGCTATCTTTGTTTAACACATAGGTTAGGTTCCTCTCTGTCGAATTCCGACCACAGGCAGTTTGCCGTACTTTCTAAAAGTAATAGTAGATTAACTAGTGACTTTAGTTGGGCTCGGTAAATATTTCAATTTCCCGCCTGAATACAGCCAGGTGACGTCAGCAAACCTGCGTATGTCCATACCATATTTACTTGTATCATGGCAAGGCCTTATCGAGTTTCGAGAATCTCCCCCTTAGTATTTAAATGACAGAAAGATTTTAAAATATACAACGTGATTAACAAGTATTTAGGTACTGTTTAACTTGGCAATAGAATTAACCAGTTCTCAGAGAGTTTTCTTGAGCTGATACTGCCAAACTTAATTGAAATACTTAAGAATAATAAGAAAGTTTGGTTTTGACATTTTATAATATAATTAATGACAAATTTTGTGGAAAATTTAATGTCATGCCACTGTCTACCGTGTCAGTTTGGACTACAGGGAGTAAGGCATGAGTAAGGTCACAGTATATTGTGATATGTTGTGTATGTTGTTATTAAGATTGTTTTCAAGAACGCAAAAGAAAACATTACGTACAAGTTCACGTATTGCTGAATCTCAACTTACGGTGATTATTATCGGCAATTATATTGGCGAAGAAATAATTCTTGTCTGTGTAGTTTTAAAATTCAAATGTCAACTTTGATGACATTTAACAAGCTGACAACCTAAGAAAGGTGAAAGTACTGGTATTTTCCTAACATAATCTTTTTCTTGTATTTTCATTGTGCGCTTGTCAAAGATATTGAACAAGTAAGTATATATTTACACTATCTCTTTGATATTTGTCGTGCACTTAACTTCAACCTTCAACTTCTAAGCTGGCTTGTTCGGAAAAGTTATTTCTAAGTCATTGTCAATGTTGTCAATTATATACAGTGTTGCCAGAGTTAAATGATAAAATTCCGCTACATGTCGTCGAAAATTCCGCTACAGGCAAAAATAACTACGTCACGGGGAGGTTGATGGGTTGGATGGTTGTTAAAAATTTCGAAGTTTACACCCGCCATTCAAAATAACATTTTGTATACAATATAAAGTGCCAAAATGCAGAAAAAACCCTCGAATTTTCCAATTTTCAGGTCTCAGAAAAATTCCGCTAGAGGAATTCCGTTACGTCTGGCAACACTGATTATATAGAATAAATCGACGAATTTAGATTTCTGCTCTTGCATCATTTTGGAAAAATGTAAGAAAACTTGGGATTTTATGCAACCAATAATACAGACGAAGAGTTTGCGTTGGTAGAATTTGAAGCCAAGCAGGTACATTTTGACATTGACATTGCGATTTTACGCGTTTTTTTTTTTGTAATCACGTGGTTGTTATTTTAGTGTCATTTTTTGGAATTAAAAAATAATAATAATTTTAAGGTAAAAAATCAAGAAAACAGACATCTCTTGCTATTTCACTAGTTTTACAAAATATTATCTAGTTTGGTCCAAAGAGGGTCTATTGTATCAGAAATGCTCTCAAAATTATGTTTCTATGTTTCTTCAAATAATGGTCAAAATGCGTATAGTTACATAGTTGGTCCATTCACTAGTCCTAATAAAATTGGTTAAAAATTGCGCTATATGGTCAAGCGAGTTTGTTTCAGTCGAAATTTTCTCATATTCACGAATCTGTGCTTGCATTTGCCATACATCTTCAAATGTTAAAGTTGATAAAGCTCCCCAAATCGGTCCATAATTTCGTCGCTACTGAAATTTTGTTAGGATCGCGAATCTACTTTTGTGAAAAACACGCATCCTTCTAGCACATTTTTGTATGATATATAGAACTAGATAATATAACATACATTTTCAGGAGTTGAATAAATCCCATATCAACAAAAAAATCAAAATTTAGGTACCTACTTGTAGCAAAATATACTAGCATTGTGAACCAACGAGCAGAAAGTGAATTTAACTTTTATTGGTTCATCGTTAGACAGTTTATTATTGATAGTTTAATTAATTCCATTTGTATTCTTCCATTCGTTCAATTTTTGTTAACATTACGTAAATTTTGCTTTTTTTGAGAATAAAAAAAATAGGGTGTTTATTTGCTTACATATATACAAACAAGGCTTATTTCAATAACAATTGAAAACCTTTTGCAGATTTAAATATAGAACTTTCATTGTCCTGCTTCTCCAAAGCCGGATGGATCTCTTGTCGTAGACTCTTGAACACAAAAAAGGGAAGCACCGATGGTTATATCATACAATATCAATTTTTCTGAAAAAAATTGTTTAAGTACATCATCAAAATAAATTTAAATAAAAGTCTCCACATATGTTTATTCTTCTTTTGGCGACAATGACGTTGCAAAACCGCACAAAAAATTATTCTATAATCAACCACACTAACTTCCGTGCATTCCCAACATCAGTAATCACCAGTGATGCCAAAATGATTTAACCTCGGAACAACGAATTTCCTCTAGTTCCCACAGTAAAAAATTTAAAACACCTCAAAACAAATCCTTATAACAACTTTCAAGAACAAAAAGTAATTGCTTAATAGTACTTAATACTTGTATTAATACATTTTTAATAAACAGGCAAAAGAAAAACAAAATAAAAAATACTCATTGGTTGGTAACGTATTTATACAAATTTCATTCGAGATACACCCACATAAAACTTTATGACAGATAATGAGTGAAACCCCTGCACAATGGCAACAGTAATTTATTGCTTTTAACACCCTATGCTACCCGATATCGGCACGTTCCGGCAGAATTTTTCAGAGCCGTACTCTGTTAAAAAAATAAGGTGAAATAATAGACAAATTGTATTAGTTAAATAATATTTATAAGATTATAAGTCACTATAATGACTGACAATTAAGGCGTGAAATCAGTTATTGAAATGAAGACCAATTCAATTCTACCCAAAGTACGTTTTGGGAATTTGAGTAAACAATTTCATTACCGAAAACAGGTAAAACTTTCAACTCAACCCGAATACGGCTCTGTATAAAATGACCTGACAAACCCTTTTCATAATTTATGGTTTCAGGAGCACCGCTTTTTGAGTGATTGGTCCCATAAAAATTTATGTGGGTGTATTTCGAATACGGTTACAGTAATGCAAAATGCAGTGAATAGTGACAGGTGGTGTTTAAATTATGAGGAACAGATAATTCCATAGATTACTATTAAGGGAACTCAAGATTTATTACTCTTGAGGACTGATTATCTTTCCAATTGTGAAGGCTACAATGTAGAAAATGATGGTAAATCAATATTTCGGTGAACAGAACAGGCTTATTAGTATTAACATAGGTATTCAATTCTAAGCAACCATTACCAACATGAAATGTAAAAAAATTAAAAAATTAAAATATTTAACCCGCATTTGTCAAGTATTTCATTTTTTTTCCGAATAGCTCAAAAAAAGTACCAGATTAATACGAAGAAAACCAGAGAACCAACTTTTAAAAAGTACCAAATTTGTCTCAAAGGAGGAACTTGAATATTGCCGAGTACGAATAACAAATAATGAAAAAAACCTATTGACAATTGACATTTGAGGTATCTCGTCTGTTTCACAATTCGTTTGACCCCTAAAACAGGCAAAAAAATTGGCCCAAAGTTTTATAGTAATTTTCCTAATATTTGACGTCATTCTCTACTTCCTGATTCTAAAAATTTCATGGCAGTTTTTTCCCCATGCAAATTGAATTTTCCTTTGAGTTGGTGTCACTGGTGATCACCGTTGCGAAATTCACACTTTCGCGCGACCCTTATTCAGAAGAGGGGATGGTTTACAGGGAGATGGGACTGTGTGGTTGAAACTCGTCCTCTTTCCTATTGCGTATTCATTGGGTCAACACGTGTTAAAAGCGGTACGCTAAAATTTTAATTTTTTAAAAAACACACCACAGTATGCCACAGTCACCAACAATAAAATTTATTAATAATTTTTGAGTCTTACACGTGTTATGCAATCTTGACCGCGAGTATCGGAGTACACCGACTTCGCATCATATCGTCGAAAAATGTTTATTTACTGCTCGATAGCTCTGATGTGTTCTGTTTGACGACTAAAAATAATTACGTTCATAGGAATGTTTTATTTGATTTGGTAACATAATGACCCTAGCCATTGTGCCACGCGGCTGGATTTCGATAAATATAAAAAATTGTAGTCTTGAAGGTCATGATTTTTATTTACAGCTCTGCAACTGATTTTTGCGTTTTCAGTAACAAAGTGGATAGTTTTGGGAATTTGGCCGGTTGGTACCAAAGTCTAGTTTGTGTCAGTAATGAAAAATGCAAGGACGTTGCAACGAGCGAGTGTCAAGGTCGCAGTCATGCGTATCGAAAACGTGGGAACACGAACGCGAACTTTTATCATTTCCAAGTAGCGACGTGTAGTCAGCATATCGATTATTTGTGAACTCATTTATTCCGTACTTTTCCCTAAGTAGATAATAGTACTAAGGCGGTAGTAAATTTTACACGTCTGCACGCACAGTAAGTAGCTATTTTATTCGCAAATGTCAAATTTAAAAGTTTTCATTGGTAGGTTACTTGGGGAATCACAGATCTATACGTTCCCACCATCAGTGTAATCATCTGGAGTTCATCGAATTTGTGACACTATGGAGATGAGTGAAGAGGTGGGTAAGAATGTTGTAGAAATTAATTATCTGTTGACTAATTTTGTAGGAGTGGAAAGAGTGCGTTAAAAAACACGGTTTCGGATTCAGTGACGGCGAGGAAGACAGCGATACGGAATCCAAATTAGTTTTAGATAACTTATATGAGGCTTTCAAGCCTCCGCCCATTTTGATAGATCCTGAAAAACACAAAATAATAGAAATAGGCGGATATGACAGTGATGATACCGCGACTTGTACAGACTTTTCGGAAAAAAGTGAAACCACAAACAAGGAGAAACGTCAGAAGCTAACGAAAAGCCAGAAAAAGAGAAGACGGAGACGATTATTGAAAGAAAATTCGCACAAAATTACAGACGAAGAAATAAACAACTGTAGAGTAACGGTAGTTTCAAAGAACAAAAGCGAATGCTGTGTTAATAAAAATAAAAATAAGAAAGATAATAACGAGCGATTAAAACAAGATACACCAAAAATAGAACATATCGCAACCGACGTAGCCAGTAGCAGTTCAGAATTCGAGGAAAAGCCTCCACTACCAAATGGAACAAGTGCTCTTAATAACAATCCTACAACTCACATAAGTGCCTACCAAATGCAACAAAATTTTCTCTGCACAATGGATATTATGCTCAGACAACTACACATTATAATAAACACCAACCCTACGGATTCGCTAAATATATTCTCCAACGTTCAACTTTGTCTAAAGACTGTCGAAAATTTTGGCGTCCACCGAAAGCCCATTAAATGTGTTGCCGTCCTTATAACAGAAACCGCAGCCCGGTTCAAAAAATTTCTTAACAATGTGCAATCAAACGGCCAAGCAGGAATTCCTTTCCAGGTGAATGAATTTTTCTATGATATGAATACAATAATTTTGGTCACTGTGACCAAACACCACGGCTTTAATTTACCTGAAGTAATGAATACGCTTGAAAATCTCGTCTTTGTGAGCTTTAACAATGTCTTGACAAATCTTTGTGAAAAAATGGTCAGTATTATTTATCATGTGACAGGGATTGCTTCCAGAAGCCCTTTTAAACACTTTGTGTTGTATCCAGGGACGGTGTGGGAAAGCTATTATGATATGCTTCATTTCATAAATTTGGCGAAGAGCATCCAGCACTCACGGATTAATTCTGAAAAAGGACAGGTAGTTAGAAGTGTATGCGAAAAACCACCCTCTGTAGTTGTGCCACAAGGATCAACTAAGAGTTTTTTAAGCGAAAGATCTACAGTGCAGTCGTCACCACAATGTCAGTCACAGCTAGACCCGATTTTAGTTGACGATTTGACAATAAACAGGCGTTTTATGTATGATGGGAGCTTCTCTGGATCAAATTTCCAAAATTTGTACTCCAACAAAAAGTTACTTCATGTGGATTCGTCTTGTAATACAATTGCCAAAACTAAGCGCACCACAGTATTAGATATTTCAAGTTTTGCTCAGTTGTGCCCACCTGACAATTTGACCAGAAGTGGTAGCTATTTAAGACCAAATTTTCAATTCCGGAACGATTTCCAAAATGTGTATCATTTTTTGCCGGTTTTGGAAGTCCCGGTTAAAATGTTGAATCAAGTACAATCACGAAAATTAGTGAATGAAAATTTGATTCAAAGTCGGAACAAGATGCGTCCTGAAGATGATCAAGATTTGGCAAGTAGTGAAAAGTTGCAACAGTCACTAGGGGTTTCTGCGATATTTAAGGAATTAAGTCCTATAGAGGTTCCTCTCTCGTGGGCGATGACAACCTGTGATTTTAGAATTCTAATAACCAGTGTTATTTTTTTACTATTTTTTAGAAAGATATTGTACTGTGTTTTTGTTGTTTTCAGTTGCATAGATATTTTTATGCTCATTCTTTTACTTCTGTATTTTTGTACTTACTTCGTTATTAAGTTTTAAAATGACATTGAGTTTGAATTTTCTTATTTTATTGTTTTCTAATTATTACTACGACCCTATTTCAATCAGTTCTATTTCAAAGTATTTTTGTCACATATATCTTGATACCAATTCAGAATTCAGATGTCAAAATATTGTTTAGACTGTCTATATACAGACTGATTTGTTTTAGTTTTGAGTGTTGCTTTTTAAAGATATTTGAAAATAAAAAATTAAAAGAATCAGTTTCGTTTGACATTTTGTGATATTTATAACAACTAGTTGAACGGCCAAGGCAAACAAGTAACAAGGTCACGGCCGTGCGTGCAGTATAGTTCGTCAATACAATCGGCGCCATTTATACGACGCTTTGGCTATAGGCAATGGGTGCTGTTATAAGTTATACTATATACCATATTGTGCAACATAATAGCTTAGTGCTTCCACGTTCAACATGGATGAAGAGGTACGCAATTAAAAAACAAAATCTGAATGACATTTTAATTTTTAGGAATATAAAGAGTGTTTAAAAATGCTTGTTTCTGGGTCAAGTGAAGATGAAAGCGATAGTGGATCCAAATCACAATTAGACGACGTGTATGAAAGCTTCAAACCGTCGCCCATTTTAATAGATCCTCAAATACACAAAATAATCGAGATAGGAACTTTCAGTAGTCAGGTAGTAAGTTCAAGTACTAAGAAGTTAACAAAAAGCCAACGAAAAAGGAGAAGGAACAAGAAGAATCAAAATGTTAAGACTAGCAGCACTGATAATGGAACGGGTCCAGAGACCTTTGGTGCTTCTGTTAAAGTAAATAATGAAGCAGTGAAGTCTGCTGAAGCCGCAGATTGTGAGTATAAGGTTAAGACATCCAGAAGAAAAAGGAAGAAAAAAGGTACCAAGACAGAAGATGTAGAGAAGGAACTACAAAAAAGTACAAGTACAACGGAAACTAAAATGAGCTATGGCGAGTCAGAAGAAACCACACGCTGTGAATACAGGATTAAGACATCGAGAAAAGAAGAGTATGGGAGCAAAAAGAAACAAGAAAACACCAACATAGATAATTCACACAAGGAAGCGCAATCATGTGTTAACGTCTTTTTTGACGTTTCTAGTGTACTAGAAAATAAAGAATTTGAAACGGTAATAGACTGTTCAGATTCTCTAACAGGGTTAAAATGTGAATACAAGGATTACACATCAAGAAATAAAACACACAGAGGAGAAAAGAAATTAGAAACTAATAATAGAGACGAGAGAGCAGAGGAAGTGCAGCAATCAAGTGGTATTTTGACTAGAAGTGGTTTGATCACCTACGTCGAAAAACATAGTGTGGGATTGGAAATTATATCTTGTCTTGCGCAAAACGCAGAAGCGATGGACTACATTAAAAATAAGTTGAAAACAAATGACAAAAAAGCTATTGAGGTAATGGACACTATTAAAAAGAAAACGGAACGAATCAATAGCAAAAATAAAACACAAAATAGTAGCAAGGAAATGACAAAAAAGCATGAAACATCTAACAAAACTTTGGGGAATATGATATGTTTTGACGATTTTGGCCATTTTATTTCCAAATTAAATTAATGTACTTATATTTAGATGGTTGTAATCACATCCAACAAACTTGTCGAAATATTTACGTGAAAATTTTGGAGTATTTATTGTGTGTCTATTCTTAATAATAAAACTATCATCATTTTTACGATGTGTGATTTTTTTACCCCGGTACATAAAATAAAGTCTTTTTTAAAGTATTATTTATATGCACTTTATTTTTTAATGTGATGAAATTTTCAAAACTTAAAAAAAAGTTTTGATTGGATATAATTCATATGTAAATTTTACATACTTTCAGTTGCTGTTTTTATTGCATACTTTAAAATACTGCCAAATAAGGATTCTAAAAAGCTGACTGATTTAGATTTTCACGGTCCAAAATGTACTAAAATATAAGTTTCCCGTTTCCAAAGGGTAAACTTCACAACCGTTCAATCCTTTCGAAAATTTAATGACCTTTTCTAGTCGTTAGGTATGTACATTTTACTTGAAGTGTTGTTACCTGTATATTTTTTCTAAAAAATAATATCTGTTCAATTAAATTTTGTCTCAAAACTACAAAACAGATTTTGAAATTTTGATAAGTCGCCAAGATTGCTGTGCCATATCTTCATGTTTTTTTATTCTACAGATACCATTGTTTAATTGATATTTCTGTCACATTCCACTGTGCCATAATCTGCTATGATTCATAACATTTTTTCATTATCGAGTTGTCTGGCCACATGTATCGATCACAATGCCAACTATTAATATCCAAAAACTTTCCGTTAATTTTCCGTAGTAACTGACTATTATTTATGAAGATATATAAACGTCCTTATTTTAATAGCTGTCTCAATTACTTACTGTAAATATTTTATGCCAATGTTCACTTACTATCACAGAACGGTATCAGTGTCATTAAGTAATGGCCACCAGAAAACAAAGTAAACAAAAACAGAATACTACTAACAAATATAAAACGCTGCCTTTGTGTAACATCTTCACAGCGTATTGTTTGCTTCCAAGTGACAATGTATGACGCCCTTCCATTTTATTTTTACTATTTTTCATCATATCATCATATTCTATAAACGCTTCTCTCCTCAACCACACTGGCCCGATTGATTTTTTCAATTCGTTAGTGAACATTGTTTCCGCGATTTGTAGTTTGCTTGCAATAGTGTTCATGAATCGTATCAAAAAGGAACAACTCTTAAATTTGGTAAACATTTTTCAAAACTTAGATTTAGATCTCTACAAAACCTTCAAGTATAGAAAAAAGACACATTTAAAACACAAATTAATTTTCTATATCTGTCACTTTTTTATACTTTGTCTGATATGTTTAGAAGCTTCTATCTGCCTCTCTGTTTTCCCTTACGAAATTTGCCTACACTACCTTCCGATTTATTTCAATCTGTACTTTTTTGCTATCATTGTGATACAATTCGGTTGCTTTGTGCTTGAGATTAGAGAAACGTGCAAAATTTTGAACGAAAAACTTCTAAATGTGTTTTCGTTATTGGAAACATGCAATGCGAAAGTGTCGCTTTCGCCCTTTATGTTTTGTGCTGTTAATCTTAACTTTTTTTCTCGTAATTACGACCGGATTTACGATTTAGTGGCTTCAGTTAATGATATTTTTGGGATACAACTGGTGCTGGCGTTTCTTGTCATTTTGCTATTTTTGGCAAAACTAATTATGATTTGTTTATCTTCTTTCATATACTTAGATGAAGGCGGTTTTGACAAGTGGCTCGCAATTGGTATTCTTGTTACAAACACTTGGGGATCAATATCGTTTATGGTGAATATAAATGATTTCGGCAAAGTTTATTGAAACTAGTTGTGTTTTTAGTGTTTTATTTTAGTAATAGCGGTCCCGTGTTCTCATGTAACACAGGAAATGGAAAAAGCTAGCATGATAGCTTTGAAATTGTTGATGAATCTAAATCAAAATGTTAGAATGGTGAGGAATGTTGGGGAAGATTTAATTTTTTTGGAAGCTCAGCTTATCAACAGATTTTCACACTTTTCGGCTTTTGGTTTTTTTAGAATAAATATTGAAAATGTTTTCAATCTGATTAGTATTGTTCTGAGTGTCGTGGTGCTCACAATGCAAGCACCTAAACAATGGTAAAATAATTTTTTATTTAACGTCCACTGTATGGCGAAAAATACCATTTAATTCGTAGAAAAAAAAAACGAAGAAGAACGTATACTTGATCTGATAAAGACAATCTAGGGTGAAGAGAAAGCTGTAAAATGAATGGAAAAAATATAATTTTTGATAGAAAGAAAAATTTGGTTATATTTTTTCAGTTTCCATAGGGGGCACAGGAACACAAGGAATTTCCTTATAGATTAAGTATCATAAATTAAACGTTAGAGATGTTCTTCTAGAATTAAATTTTCATATCGTTTTTATTTTGCAAAATTGTAATATTGTGGAGAAATCTGTACGCAATAATTAAAATAAGAAGTTTAAAAGTATATAAAGATGGTACAAAATATAAAAATATAACAAAGACTGAAAGCACATATTATTTCTGCCATGTTTCATATATGACAATTTTTCAAAGTGGTCAAAATTCACACTGTTGTATTATCACTGTTACTTTATATGTACAGTGCAAAATTTGGAACCAAATCTAACCACATAAATGAGAAAAGCATATATATTTTTGTTTAGCGTGCTGCATAATAAATGGTAGAAATTGGTTAAATAATTTCCAAATTTGAAATTTTTATTCCAAAAACACGAAATAAAGTAAAAATATCTTCAAATAAAACTGTGGAATATGGTCTTCAATTCAAATAAATAAATATATTCATAAATTAATGTAATTATTTCAGTAACATAACACTTTATATGTGAAAGTTGCAACAAAAATAAAAAACTGAACGAAACAATGCAGATCGGACATCGGAGTGAAAACAAAATGTTTGTTTGCCTAAAAATATCGAGATTTAATGTACCTCTCATTGTTATTAGTTACTTTTAATAACGATAACCATTTTCATTTAATGAAAGTGATTGTAAATGCGCATTTTAAAGTCATAGATAAAATTTTGTATGTTGACACGAGTTGACCTATTATTATAAAATTTGTGTGATTATTTGTTTACACATCTCGACTAAACTTCGTTATGAGCAAATTTGACATATGTATTGAAATAATGCTAATAATATCGCTTCCCTAACGCAAATAACTATAAATCTATTAAAAAGTTTAAAATAAATTCTGCAAATGCCGTAAATTTACGCAAACAATTTTTTGTTATTTTTAAATTAATAAAATTGAAATATTACTCAAACTTCTTTATAAAAAGGCGAATAGAATACACTATTGACACAACGAATAACACAGATCACGAGAATTAAAAATGATCTAAGGATGAGGTTCCGAACAGTATTTTAAATCATCAACCAGTGATGACCTGATGACCAGACGTTACATAAACCAAAAGAACAATCTCATAAAACAAATAAAAACAAAATTGAAATAAAATACCATCGAGGAAAATAAGAGAAAGTTATAGTGAACCAAGAGTTATAAGGTTATATGGCCATCATAAAATCATCCCATTGTGTCGAAGTTAAGTTGTTTACAATAGAAAAGGTTTTAGGGTCGTAAATAACGTGTCCACTGCAGCTCGACCGACTCTTCTGGTTTCGTTCAGGGGGGGCTTTCACTAAATATGAAAATCCACCACTCCACTATTTCTTTACTACCTGCAGCCGCTGAGGGTTCCGAAATAACCACTCGCTTTGAAAGCCGGCCCTGTTAAATATGAGCAAGAAATGTTTAGAAGATGATTTATTGCCAACCGGTAAGCTTAGTGCGAACCACACAAAGGGGGTGTTTATTTGCGGTCAACTACTTTTATGATGGCCATATAACCTTATAGCTTTTGGTTCACTATACGTAGATGTAAGTTATTGTATGTCATTTTAAATACAAAGACAACATTATATTACACATTTATTTAGTGCTATCTTCCGTAAACTTCAGTACGGTTAACATTACTAATATATATTGCAAACTGTAAACACAATATATAAATTGTTTTCATTTTATCTAAAATACTTAAATGGCAACGTCGGAAGTAAAGTTTAGATTTGAGTTCTAGGTTTGTTTCCAATTTAGTAAGACCAGTAAATGTTCTTTTTGGTTATGAAAACGTACATTATATATATTTTTTTTAAATTGCTAAATATTATATTTTTCAGTAAAATAAATTAAGATGTCCATGGCGACTTTGCAAAAGTAATGATAAGTTGCTCATTGTTACGAAATATTTCTAAATAAACGAATTAACTTTAATAAAATGTATAATAGATTTCTACATTTAAATAAAATAAACGAAACTTATTAGTCTCAATATTGTTGTTTTACATTTAAAGTTATTTAGGTTAAGTTAGTTAAGTTGTACTATTAAGTTCAAGGAGGGTGTTAGTTAAGTTTCAGTTTTTTGATTTGTTATTTTTAATATTACTTTATCTGGACTTTTATTTTATTTTACTTTTTACTTCCCTAGCATAAGCTAAGGAAACAGATATTATTATTACAATACTTCTTAACTAGGTTCCATTTAGTGTGCAAAACTTTGAAATGACGTTATCAAATTGTTAGTGGGGATAATTACATACATTTAGGTTAGCATTTTACCACCTACATGATAACATACACCTAAAATTTGACAATAAAGTAACAATATATGGTAACGAACTGTGTAAATGTAAATCATCAACAACGAATAAACAAAAGTGAAAAATTATGGAAGATAAGTAAATATTCATACCAAAAAATAAAAAATGGATTGTGTAAAAGTAGTAATATTATTATTATTATTATCATTACTGATAAACAAGTTAAATGATGTGCAATGGAAAAGAATAAGCATCATATCTAATTTTAAAAGCTGTAGTTGACCAACTATCAACAATTTTTTGGGGTGTGAACTCCAGTGGTCGAAAACCCTATTGACAATAAAACACTGTCTAATAGTTGTTACAAATTGATCCTTAGCCTAGGGGCGGCTGGTGCCGGGGGGCACAAGGGCACTTGCCCCCCCAAAATTACAACGTCTACAAACACACTGGACATGATAAAATAGTTATTTTATTTTATAAATTTGTGTTATAATTATCAAAAC